CGGCCCATCTCAGTTTCTCGTTTTCCGTGTTTCGTTCCAGCACGACACCTGCCCCGTCTGCCGGAAGAGCCTCAGCGGCCAGAACACAGCCACCAACCCCCCGGGACTCTCGGCGATGAACTTCGCCTCTTCGTCTTCCTCCTCCTCCTCCTCCTCCTCTAGCTCGCCGAGTAACGAGAACGCGGCGAACAACTCGTGAGAGCGGAACGGCGGGGCGGGAGGTTTGGGGTGGGTCGGGTCGGAAAACGAAACACACCTTTTCGAACGCAAGCAAAAAACGAAACAAAAACGTCGCTGCTCTCGCGCCCCTTTTGTCGCCTTCCTCCCCACCTGGCGAAACTGGGGGGGCGGGCGGGTGTCTGTGGAGGGGTGGGAATGGGAGAGGAAACCCCCCCAGCCCTGGAACACAGAGCAAAGGGGGCAGGGTGTGGGGCAGGGGAAGCAGAACGCGAACCCCCCCCCACACCGACACATTTCCCCCGTGAACCGCGATGACACCGAGGTCCTTCGCACACACACACACACAAACTCACCCTTGTCTCTTCGCCCCCGCAAGGGTGTTTCGGGCGCTCTCGCGTTTTGTTTCCTCCGGGGTGGGTGCGGGGGGTACGAGGGAAGCCCACCCTTTTTTAAAAAAACGCGGACTCTTTGAGGAAAAACCCGGCAAAGGAACGTGGAAGCACTGAAGTGAGACTTTTTGGGGTTTTCTCCTTTTTTTTTTTTTGAGCGGAAGTCGTTTCTGTTAGTAGCTTGGTTTGTTTTTTTTAAAAGCATTTTGACCATCTTTTTTTGGGGGGGGTCTCTTTTCAGTTCCTCAAGCCTTTCGACGTTCCCTCTTCCCTCCCATCCCAACCTAATGGATTTTTCTACTTCCTAGCTGGGAGAAGGAAAACCAGCCAAGGAAGGGAATTTTTTTTGGGGGGGGGACAGGTCGTGTGCGGAAAGCATACCCTAACGACCGGACCCACATTTTCAGGCTCGTTAGTTTCCTCTCCTGTTTTAACACCACCCTTTCCCTCCCCCCCCCTTTTTCTTTTTTGGGCAGTCCGGCGTTGAGAAAGGGGTTTTTATAATGTTAAATTATTACTGCTGTTGAAATAAACGGACATTTCAGCTCGGATCCTGTACACGCATGTTTGGGTTCGTTCCCGCATCTTCGAGTTATAAACGCCTGATTTGACACGGTGGCCTAATTTTATCGCCTCCTTGGGAGAAACCCTCGGTCGGTGGAGCGTGAGAGTCTGAATTTCGGGGCCGTGGGTCTGAGCCCCACATTGGGCGAAAGATTCCTGCGTTGCAAAGCAGTCGTGGCCCCTTCCAACATTATGATCTATGAAATTGTCCTGGAATGGAAAAATCAGGCCTCAGATTTAAGTCGGGGGTGGCCAACTTGACATCTTCTTGAGCCCTGACTGTCATCCATATTGGTTGCCAACAATAGGAGTTGAAAGTCCTTTTACATCTGCAGCGATGTCCCGGTTCTTAGAAGAAGCAATTCTTCTCTTCCAGGGGGAATGTCTCTACAGTGGTACCCTGGTTCTCTTAGGTTTCCTGTTTAAATTGCTCCTTCACAGGGACTAGAAACTTGAGCATCTTCGGTTAGGGCTGCGAGAGATTCACGGTCCATGTAGAAAAATACTTTATTTAAAAAATAATAATCAGTGCTTTCACCCCCAAAATACGTTTAGGGGTGGTCTCATTTTAACTCAAGAAAATCCGCATTTTGTAGTTCAGATCAGCCCTTCACGGGGACTAGAAACTTGATCTGCTGGATCAGAGGCCAGTGGCCCGTGTGGTCCAGCCTTTTGCCCTCGCAGTGGCCAAATTCCCCCATAGATAGAGCCTAGGAATCCAAATAGACTGGCTCTGGAGCTGGAGGTTCCACAAGCTCAGGGGTCTCGGCGTATTGGCCCACATCTGTGACGTCACCAACCATCTCTTTCCCCGCCAAATGTAATTTTTTAACTCGCTGTGTACCTTGTAGGCAATACAGTGGTACCTTGGTTCTCAAACTTAATCCGTTCCAGAAATTCCGTTCCAAAACCAAGGTGCGCCTCCCCATAGAAAGTAACGCAAAACGGATCAATCCGTTCCAGGCTTTTAAAAACAACCCCTAAAACATCAGCTTAACATGAATGTTACTCTCTAACAAGACCATCGATCCATAAAATGAAAGCAATAATCAATGGGCTGTTCTACAAAATAAATAAGACAGTACAGTGGTACCTCGGTTTAAGAACAGTCCGGTTTAAGAACAATTTGGTTTGCAAACTCTGCAAAACCGGAAATAGTGTCTTGGTTTGAGAACTTTACCTCGGTCTACAAACGGAAGCTGAACAGTGGAAGGGCACCGGCGGCAGGAGGCCTCATTAGGGAAAATGTGCCTTGGTTTAAGAACGGTTTTGGTTTAAGAACGGACTTCCGAAATGAATTAAGTTCGTAAACCGAGGTACCACTGTATTGTAGGTGAAAAAAAATTGAAACTCATTTTTTCCCTTACCTATACTGATGATAGTCAGTGTTTGGATGGGGGGCTTTTATCCATTACCGCAGTCACACAATCAATCAGTAGCTGAACTGGGTTCCACACAGCCACAAAAACAAATTAACTGAAAAAGCCTCAAAAACGACAGTGCAAAATAAATAGCAAAAATGCGCCAAACTTGCATGGGACACGGGTGGCGCTGTGAGTTAAACCACAGAGCCTAGGACTTGCTGATCAGAAGGTCGGCGGTTCGAATCCCCGCAATGACGGGGTGAGCTCCCGTTGCTCGGTCCCTGCTCCTGCCAACCTAGCCGTTCGAAAGCACGACAAAGTGCAAGTAGATAAATAGGTACCGCTCCGGCGGGAAGGTAAACGGCGTTTCCGTGCGCTGCTCTGGTTCGCCAGAAGCGGCTTAGTTCTGCTGGCCACATGACCCGGAAGCTGTACGCCAGCTCCCTCGGCCAGTAAAGCGAGATGAGCACCGCAACCCCAGAGTCGGCCACGACTGGACCTAATGGTCAGGGGTCCCTTTACCTATATAGTTGCATACAGAGTTGCTTGAGCTGATTTTCTGTATTTCTCCGTATTCCTTTGTGTTGTGGTTTGCTTATTTGGTTGGGGAGTCCAGTGACAGGAGAGATTGTCTCTCCCAAACTGACGCATTCACCCATTTCTTGCAAGCGGCAGTCTCTCTCGAGGCACTGATATTGGGGGGGTGGATATCTGTGAGCCCCTCCGCAGGTTCCTAAACTCTCAGCTTTCCCATCAACCCTATGGTAGGTTTGTGTCAAAATCGGGACACAAAAGCTTTTGTGGGGGAGGGAACCCCCAAAAAAGTTATTGAGCTTTTTGGGGAGAATTGGCCCCCCCACAAATGCAAAAATTGATACCCAAACACACGTTTCCTGGTTCTGTTAGCAGAAACCCCAGACGCTGTGCCGATTATTCCAAATTCCGCCCCCCCCGGGTCCTATTATCGCTGTTTGAATCCCAAGAAATTCCGGACGTATGGCAGATAGAGCCAGGTTTTCCCCCTACTGCTCCGGAGGGGAAGACCTGAACCAACGAAAACCGATATATCACAATGTCTGAAATACGGGCAGAGCTATGTAAAGGAAGGGACGCAGATGGCGCTGTGGGTTAAACCACAGAGCCTAGGGCTTGCCGACTGGATGGTTGGCGGTTCGAATCCTTGCAATGACGGGGTGAGCTCCCGTTGCTCGGTCCCTGCTCCTGCCAACCTAGCAGTTCGAAAGCACCTCAAAGTGCAAGTAGATAAATAGGTACCACTCCGGCGCGAAGGTAAACGGCGTTTCCGTGCGCTGCTCTAGTTCGCCAGAAGCGGCTTAGTCCTGCTGGCCACATGACCTGGAAGCTGGCTCCCTCGGCCAATAAAGCGAGATGAGTGCCACAACCCCAGAGTCGGTCATGACTGGACCTAATGGTCAGAGGTCCCTTTACCTTTACCTATGTAAAGGAATCGGCTGGCTTCACGGTTTTCCCTGCATTGTGATTTTTGCCAGTGCTCCTCTCGCGATTCTCTGTCCCATACAAGAAGCTGGGGTGTCTGTGAGGAGCTGAGCCGGTGAAGTTAACAGGGGCTGCAGGAATCGAGAGAAGCATTGGCTGGCTTCAAAGGTTTCCCCCCCCCACACACAAACATTGTGATTTTTGCATAGCGCACAAATGCACATCACGTTTTGCAATACAGTCAAACCTCGGTTGTCGGACGTCTTCTGTTCCAGAAGCCCGTTCGGCTTCCAAAATGTTGGACAACCGAGCTGTGGCTTCCGATGGGTTGCAAGAGTTTCCTGCTCTCAATTGGAAGCCGCGTCAGATGTTCGGCTTCCGAAAAACGTTCGGAAACTGAAGCATTTACTGTATTTTTCGCCCTATAAGACGCACGAGACCACAAGACGCAGCTAGTTTTTGGAGGAGGAAAACAAGAAAAAAAATATTCTGGATCTCAGAAGCCAGAACAGCGAGAGGGATCGCTGCGCAGCGAAAGCAGCAATCCCTCCTGCTGTTCTGGCTTCTGGGATAGCTGCGCAGCCTGCATTCGCTCCAGAAGGCGCACACACATTTCCCCTTACTTTTTAGGAGGGAAAAAGTGAGTCTTCTACAGCAAAAAATACGGTACTTCCGGGTTTTTGGCATCCGGGAGCCAAAACGTTCTGAAACGGAGGCGTTCAGGAGCCGGCGTTCGACTATATATTGCCAGCTTGAAAAGTACGAAACCGATATCACAATATGGAATTTGAACCGGCGCTGGACGATATATCGCCTGGCCCCATTACCTCCTTAATGGAAGGTTTTTAAATAGAGGTTGGGTGATCCTGCGCTAGTCCCTTAGGCCCTCCATCCAAAGTCTTGCAGCAGCTTTCCCCAAAACATTCTGGTGGACCTGCAAGGACGACGAAGGCGATGCCAACAAACCTCCTGGGATTTTTCATTCCGGCGTCGAACGCCGGCATGTCTTTATTTTTTGTACAAAAGTAATAAATAACCCCCCTCCCACCCGAAAGTTGTTGTTGTTTTTAAATACTCAATATAAGAAGGCATTTGATAAGCAATACGAGTCCGTGGTTTGTTGCAACTTCTCCGTCAGGAGACCAGCATGGGCAGAAAGTGTGCAGAAAGGTGCTGTCTCCGGGTCTTCGGCCCCTTTCGCGGGATGCCCTTGGCATTGAGGGAGAGGAACATGGGGCGCCCCTCATGGTTCCAGAGCCAGGAAGCGTAAGTGTTGTAGCCGTTCTCCTCGATCCTCTCCACAAAGTTGCAGCTGGGGGTGTACGCTTTCTGCAGAGAGAAAAGGAGGATGGAGGTTGGTTTCAGCGAAACGGCCACCACTCGGACGTTTGCAAGCAGGGCCGGATTTAGGTTTGATGAGGCCCTAAGCTCCTGAAGGTAATGGGGCCCTTTATATGTCCAGCTGTCCTTTGTCAAATCTGTTTCCATCTGGTACGCAGGATGAGACCCTCCCTTCCCGCAGACTGCCTCACCAGAGTGGTGCATGCTCTGGTTATCTCCCGCTTGGACTACTGCCATGCGCTCTCCGTGGGGCTCCCTTTGAAGGTGACCCGGAAACTGCAATTAATCCAGAATGCTGCAGCTGGACTGGTGACTGGGAGCGGCCGCCAAGACCACATAACACCGGTCTTGAAAGACTTGCATTGGCTCCCAGTACGTTTCCGAGCACAATTCAAAGTGTTGGTGCTAACCTTGAAAGCCCTAAATGGCCTCAGCCCAGTAGACCTGAAGGAGCGTCTCCACCCCCATCGTCCAGCCCGGACACCTGGGTCCATCTCCCGAGGGTCTTCTGGTGGTTCCCTCCCTGCGAGAAGTGAGGTTACAGGGAACCAGACAGAGGGCCTGTGGAACACCCTTCAGATGTCAAGGAAATGAGCAGATATCCTCTCTTTAAAAGACTTCTGAAGGCAGCCCTGTTTAGGGAAGTTTTTAATATTTAATGCTGTATTGTTTTTAACATGTGATTGGGAGCCGCCCAGAGTGGCTGGGGAGACTCAGCCAGATGGGCGGGGTATAAATAATTTATTATTATTATTATTATTATTATTATTATTATTATTAATTAATACATGGCTTCCCCCAGTTGACCCATTGCGGATGGGGGGCAGGACTCTGCAGAGCTAAATCTCGCCCCATCGCATCAACTGGTGTCACCCGCCCATCAGGGTGACAGGAGCCGATTGACAGCCGTGAATATTTACCGTGCCGTAGAGTTTCCCCTTTCTGTTCATCGCTAAGTAGAACCCGCTGTGGACTGACCGGATGGCCACGATCCCCGCACGCACAGATCGGATCTCCACGATATCTGGAAGAGACGGGAGAAGGCCCTTAATTTATTTCCGTTTTTAAAAAATTGCACTTAAATCCCTTCTCCTTTTTCATGACAATCCAGTGATGTAGGCCAGGGACCTTTCTCATTTTCCCTTTCCAGAAGAGCCCCAGAATGAAGAGACCGAAGGAAACATCTGTTTCTCTCCGTTCCTAACTTTTCTTCGATTCGAACCGCAGCGATTTGTGGCTTTATTTTTAAAATATCCTTCGGCGTTTTGGTTTGAATTCATCCCAATAAAAACACATATTTTTTGTTTGCAGTTATACCTAATGGTCATATTCTGGCAAGCAGTTTAACCCAACACAGTGCAAAAAAAAAATTGGTATGGTATATTCATGATTAGGACGCGGGTGGCGCTGTGGGTTAAACTACAGAGCCTAGGACTTGCCAATCAGAAGGTCGAGGGTACGATTCCCCGCGACGGGGTAAGCTCCTGTTGCTCGGTCCCTGCTCCTGCCAACCTAGCAGTTCGGAAGCACGTCAAAGTGCAAGTAGATAAATAGGTACCGCTCCGGCGGGAAGGTAAACAGCGTTTCCGTGCGCTGCTCTGGTTCGCCAGAAGCGGCTTAGTCCTGCTGGCCACATGACCCGGAAGCTGTACGCCGGCTCCCTCGGCCAGTAAAGTGAGAACAGCTCCGCAACCCCAGAGTCGGTCACGACTGGACCTAATATTCAGGGGTCTCTTTACCTTTACCTTACTCTGAGGACAGCTTTAGGAGGATGTTATTATTGCTGCAAAGTTGTTGTTGTCGGTGATTATGCATTGTTGCAAAGTTGTCATTAACGACTGTGGCTGTGTTGTCCTTTCTTAAAGCATCGTCATCTTGTAGGCAACCGACAAAAGAGCGAGACTTCTTAACCCCATAAAAATGCACGCAGATTCTTGCAGGTGAACACTAGTGAGGGATGCCTCTCAGAAAGGCAGCGTGGTGTAGTGGTTTTAGAGTTGGGAAAGGACCTGGGTTCAAATTCCCACTTTCCTGGGTGACCATGGACCAGCCGCTGTCTCTCTCAGCCTGAACTACCTCACAAGGTTGGTTGGGGGATAAAATGAGAAGTGGGGGAGGAACCAGGTATGTTGCCTTAAGCTCCTTACGGAAAATGGTGGAAAATAAATGCAATTAAAAAGCAAAACTCCCTGCTTTGCGTTTATTTCTCGTGGCGCAGAAGCAGAGTTTCACGCCTCCGGTTAGGGCTGGGTGATAATCTGGTTTTCAGATTTGTGATCTATCCCCGTCTGAACGCGGCGGTATACCGATATATCGCAACGTCTGGAATAAGGATGGAGCTTTGTAGAGGCGTTGGCTGGCTTCACGGTTTCCGTGAATCTTTTGCACACACGTATAACGATTTGCAATATATTGGCAGGTCAGAAATGATGGAACCAATATCACAACAGGGACCTCAAACCGGTTCCGGACAATATATTGATAGTTAGCCCTGGTTGCGATTGCAGACAAATGGGCCACGAACAACTGGGGTTTAATCACAACAACCCCTTCATGGATCCTTGCCTTGCCGTGGCGAAGGGGCTTGAATAACTCGGAGAAGCTATGAACTACACCGTGCAGGGCCACCCAAGATGGACAGGTCATCGTGGAGAGTTTTGACCAACCATGATCCACCTGGAGGAGGAACCGGCAAGCCACAACAAAGGTCCGTATAGTTCAAGCTATGGTTTTTCTAGTAGTGATGTGTGGAAGTGAGAGCTGGACCATAAAGAAGGTTGATGGCTGAAGAATGGAAGCTTTTGAATTCTGGTGCTGGAGGAGACTCTGGAGAGTCCCATGGACTGCAAGAAGAGCAAACCTCTCCATTCGGAAGGAAATCAGCCCTGAGTGCTCACTGGAAGGACAGATCGTGAAGCTGAGGCTCCAAGACTTTGGCCACCTCAGGAGAAGAGAAGACTCCCTGGAAAAGACCCTGATGTTGGGAAAGATGGAGGACACAAGGAGAAGGGGACGGCGGAGGACGAGATGGTGGGACAGTGTTCTCGAAGCGACCAGCACGAATTTGACCAAACTGCGGGAGGCAGTGGAAGACAGGAGGGCCTGGCGTGCTCTGGTCCAGGGGGTCATGAAGAGGCGGACACGACTAAACGACTAAACAACAACAACAAACAAATCACAACAACTCAGGCCCTTTGGGAACTGAGAGCTTTGACCTACAACTTAGAGCTTAAATCTGCTCCCCAACCCAGTTTTGGATTCTGCACTCTCTCTGAAGCATGAAAAAACGCAGTCGTTGTGATGAGAGGACCTCTGAGGTCATACAGACTGCAATTTTCTAAAAACAAACAAACTCTGAATAATCGGTCACACGTCTCTGCAGAACCGCCAGGGCTTGTGCAACTTCCTTATCCGTAAAAACTGACACTAAACCGATTTGGCAACTTGGAAGTTTCGCCCGTTCAGAGTGCATTTGCTAACGGTGTCGACTCAGAGGTAAACCCCAAAGGAGCTTACTACATTGGTTTAGGATGCTAGCTTTGCTTCACCAGTAAGGAACATCAGAATCAACTAGCCCTGTTCTCAAAGCGGGAAACCTGTCGTCAGGATTCGAACTCAAGAGCACTCTCCCCTCCTCTGGTTTCAGCAGCCACGATTCAGAAGCATCGCTGCGTCTGAAATTAGGATTCTGCTTTCCTAAAGCTGGCATCGGGAACCTCTAGTGCACCGGGCGCTGCTGAACTACAACTCCCAGGGAGGATGTGAGGCAGGCAAAATCTGGAACACCAAAGTTTTCCCCAAACGTCCCTGACTCTTTCCTCCCCAGGCTTGCTTCGTTGGGGACGCTAGTGCACTTTTCTGCTTTAATGAGGACTAGAAGATTGCTTCCCCTTCATGGATCCCTGCCTTGCCGTGGCGAAGGGGCTTGAATAACTCAGAGAAGATATGAACTATGCCGAGCAGGGCACCCAAGATGGACAGGTCATAGTGGAGAGTTTTGACCAAACGTGATCCACCTGGAGGAGGAACCGGCAAGCTGAGAGATTTTACTTTCTTGGGCTCCATGATCACTGCAGATGGTGACAGCAGCCACGAAATTAAAAGACACCTGCTTCTTGGGAGAAAAGCGATGACAAACCTAGGCAGTATCTTAAAAAGCAGAGACATCACCTTGCCAACAAAGGTCCGTATAGTTAAAGCTATGATTTCCCAGTAGTGATGTATGGAAGTGAGAGCTGGACCATAAAGAAGGCTGATCGCCGAAGAATGGATGCTTTTGAATTCTGGTGCTGGAGGAGACTCTTGAGAGTCCCATGGACTGCAAGAAGACCAAACCTCTCCATTCTGAAGGAAATCAGCCCTGAGTGCTCACTGGAAGGACAGATCCTGAAGATGAGGCTCCAAGACTTTGGCCACCTCAGGAGAAGAGAAGACTCCCTGGGAAAGACCCTGATGTTGGGAAAGATGGAGTGCACAAGGAGAAGGGGACGACAGAGGACGAGATGGTTGGACAGTGTTCTCGAAGCTGCAAACATGAGTCTGACCAAACTGGGGGAGGCAGTGGAAGACAGGAGTGCCTGGCGTGCTCTGGTCCAGGGGGTCACGAAGAGGCGGACAGGACTAAACGACTCAACAACAACAACAACAACAGAAGCTTCGGAAGCATCAAATGCAAGCGAGACTTACTGTCTGGACACTCGACCCGACGCGTGCCGTCGACTTTGCCGTCCCCGCCGATGCGCAGGAAGTAGTGGGTGGACGAGTAGAGCCGCCTCCTCCTTGCGTCGCCCTGGAGGTGGGGGTAGCTGCGGGCGAGCCTGCCCCCCCTCGGCCACCAATACCCGCCGTGCGGCTGCAAAGCCGTGTCTCCGTGCCCCAGGGCGGAGTTGGCGAGCCAGACCAGCAGCAAAAAACACCAGGCGGCGTGGGCAGTCGGTGGGTCCTGGCGACCCATGCCAGAAAATTTCGCCCGGCTCTCGGGCGAGGGCCACCATGGGGCTTCAGAAGGCTACCCGGTGAGGATTCGGCGGCGAGGCCCGAGGTCCCACGGGTCACCGTTGGGCGCGGTCAACATCCTACGAACGGCGTCATGGCGCTCGTAGCGGGTTGGACTAGATGATATTTGGAGATCCCTCCTTCCAGCTCCGCAGATCTGTGATTCTGCTGTTCTTTCACCGGTCTCGATCAAATTTGGAGGCAGACCTGAAGCTGGCAGCGGTTTCCTTGAGGTCTAGCACCTTGCCGTGCCTTCCAGAAGCTGGCAGAGGTTTCCTTGAGGTCTAGCGCCTTGCCATGCCTTCCAGAATCCCCAACTCGGAAGCTCGAAGCTCCTCTTTTGAATTATTCTCGCTTTGCCAAAGCTCCCGGCAGAATCTAGCTTTGACAGGAGAGAGAGGTGCTTGCCAGCCTTGCGTGAACCCAAACAGCTCTCCCATTGACAAGAATTCCAGCTGTACATTCCCTCCTTCTGACAAGGAAGCGTGGCATTGGCTGGGCCTGCCCCCCGACAGCCAATCGCCGAACCTTCGAGGCGGAGCTAAGGTGTGGCTGTGAATGGAATTTTATTCCCCATTCATAAATCTGTTTTGGAGTTGGCCAGATGTTCTGTGCCTTTGGCACCGGACGGCGCTTTGCAAATCCCATCCTGTTTTGGTTCGGCGAGGCTGACACACACATGCAAAATGAATAGGCAAAGGTTTATGTTAAGAACACACACACACACACACCGTATTTTTCGCTCTATAAGACGCACCAGACCACAAGACGCACCTAGTTTTTGGAGGAGGAAAACAAGAAAAAAATTATTCTGAATCTCAGAAGCCAGAACAGAAAGAGGGATCACTGCGCAGCGAAAGCAGCAACCCCTCTTGCTGTTCTGGCTTCTGGGATAGCTGCGCAGCCTGCATTCGCTCCATAAGACGCACACACATTTCCCCTTACTTTTTAGGAGGGAAAAAGTGAGTCTTATAGAGCAAAAAATACGGTATATATATATATATGCAGTAGCAATCGAAACGATTCAAAACCCATTTCAAATTGGGTTCATGATCAAAGGTACAGACTTTCAGCTGTTTGCATGTTTGTATTTTAAAACGTAGATTTTTCCTTGCTTCCTGGACTTTGGGAAGGAAGTTAAAGGGCTCTGAGATGCTCTCATTGACCTAATCCCCGCATAAGCTGCGAGTTACCTGCACTTGACCAAATTTCAGTGGAGTGAAAAACGGCTGGTTTCTAACAACAGGAACCAGGGAGATCAGTGGTCTTGCGCCAGCCTTGCAGTGCGGTCTGACCAGTGCCAGATTCACGTATAAGCTAAACAAGCTATAGCTTAGAATCCCACTCTCTTAGGGCCCCCCAAAAAAAATTTAAAGGGAAAAAACCTGGATGTAGATTTCCAAAATATAAGATAACAAATAAAACAAAACCTACATACAGCAACAGTGTTTTGTGTTGTGTAGGCTCCTATGATGTAAGTCATGGGCCCCGCCTGCTCGCCTGCTCCCTAAAATATCCCTGGTTTGCTCCTTTCTATATATAGGGTGCCGACATTCTGCATGGACTGATTGCAGGGCAATGTGTGCAAATGGCTTGAGATACCTGTTAGGTTAAAAAGCAGAGACATCACCTTGCCAAAAAAGGTCCGTATAGTTCAAGCTCTGGTTTTCCCAGTAGTGATGTATGGAAGTGAGAGCTGGACCATAACGAAGGCTGATCGCCGAAGAATTGATGCTTTTGAATTTTGGTGCTGGAGGAGACTCTTGAGAGTCCCATGGACTGCAAGAAGATCAAACCTCTCCATTCTGAAGGAAATCAGCCCTGTGCTCACTGGAAGGACAGATCCTGAAGCTGAGGCTCCAAGACTTTGGCCACCTCATGAGAAGAGAAGACTCCCTGGAAAAGACCCTGATGTTGGGAAAGATGGAGGGCACAAGGAGAAGGGGACGACAGAGGACGAGATGGTGGGACAGTGTTCTCGAAGCTACCAGCATGAGTTTGACCAAACGGGGGGAGGCAGTGGAAGACAGGAGGGCCTGGCGTGCTCTGGTTCAGGGGGTCACGAAGAGGCGGACACCACTAAACGACTCAACAACAGCAACACCTATTAGGTCCATCAATGGCCATATAGCATATATTCAACAACAAAAACAGTGACAATTTGTTGTTGGCAAAGGACAGCTGGACATATAAAGGGCCCCATGACCTTCAGGAGCTGAGGGCCTCATCAAACCTAAATCCAGCCCTGGGTGTGATGTTGCAAACGCCATGCAAATTAGGACACAGCCCTGTAGGGTTAGACCATTTTGCAGAAGGATGGCTAGCGACACACCTGCAATATGACAGTTTTTGCTGCTCCTCTGAACTCGGCAATGACCCAAATTCTTTTTCCCAAGAACCTTGTCCTGCGGGGAATGCGGCCATTCCAGTCTCCTGCGTCATTTGAGGCCACGCCGAACCCGTTTGCTCTCAAAACGGTGAGAACACACCGCCCTGGGAGGAAATATTTGCCCTGCTTTCTTTTGCAAACATTTCTGGGAGGTGGAAACCTCGGGACAGATATAGCAGCAATGGTGCTGCAGGAATCTCACATAAATGATGTTGTTGTTTAGTCGTGTCCGCCTCTTCGTGACCCCTGGACCAGAGCACGCCAGTCTTCCACTGCAGTTTGGTCAAACTCATGCTGGTCGCTTTGAGAACACTGTCCCAACATCTCGTCCTCTGTCGTCCCCTTCTCCTTGCGCCCTCCATCTTTCCCAGCATCAGGGTCTTTTCCAGGGAATCTTCTCTTCTCCTGAGGTGGCCAAAGTCTTGGAGCCTCAGCTTCAGGATCTGTCCTTCCAGTGAGCACTCAGGGCTGATTTCCTTCCGAATGGAGAGGTTGGATCTTCTTGCAGTCCATGGGACTCTCAAGAGTCTCCTCCAGCGCCAGAATTCAAAAGCATCCATTATTCGGCGATCAGCCTTCTTGACGGTCCAGCTCTCACTTCCATACATCACTACTGGGAAAACTAGAGCTTGAACTATACGGACCTTTGCCGGCAAGGTGATGTCTCTGCTTTTTAAGACGCTGTCTAGGTTTGTCATTGCTTTTCTCCCAAGAAGCAGGCGTCTCTTAATTTTGTGGCTGCTGTCACCATTTGCAGTGATCATGGAGCCCAAGAAAGTAAAATCTCTCACTGCCTCCATTTCTTCCCCTTCTATTGCCAGGAGGTGATGGGACCAGTGGCCATGATCTTCGTTTTTTTGATGTTGAGCTTCAGACTATATTTTGCGCTCTCCTCTTTCACCCTCATTAAAAGGTTCTTTAATTCCTCCTCACTTTCTGCCATCAAGTTTGTGTCATCTGCATATCTGAGGCTGTTGATATTTCTTCCGACAATCTTAATTCCGCCTTGGGATTCATCCAGCCCAGCCTTTCGCATGATGAATTCTGCATATAAGTTAAATAAGCAGGGGGACATTGCTCTTCCATTTTGGAGGGCTTCCTTTTTAAGCTGTCCTGGAGGGCTCCGGGTGGTCTCTTTGACCTAGCCAGCCAGCCAGGAAGGTATTCTTAAGATTCAGGGCAGCAGTGGCCCTTGTTGTGGACCATGGGACGCTGTGAAGGGTGGTCAGGGGTCCCGCAAGCAACACTGGCCTCTGTCCCTCTTTCCTTCGCTCCCTCCTCAGATGCCTTCTTGCATCTCTGCCTCCCAAAGTCTTGCACAGCCGTTTGTTGCAGCAGCCCTGGCTGCAAGCTCCGCAGTCGAATGGTGCCTCTGGGGCTTGGCAGGGGCTGCTTCCTAAGCCCCTGTGGGGCAATGTGAAGAGGCACCCCTCTTTGGGGCAGCTCAGAGAGCCGGGAAGGCGGCTGTGGCTGCCCAGAGGACCTCCAAGAAGAGTTGGTCCAGGGAGCCGCGGACCCCAAAAAGTTGGAAACCTCTGTTCCATGGGGCCCGGGGGCCGGATCCGTCCCAATCGCCTTCTCAACCCGGCCCACGGATGGTCCGCGAATCGACCTGTTTTTACATGACTAGAATGTGTCCTTTCATTTAAAATGCATCTCTGGGTTATTTGTGGGGCATAGGAATTCGTTCATTTTTCCCCCTTCAAAATATAGTCCAGCCCCCCACAAGGTCTGAGGGACAGTGGACCGGCCCCCTGCTGAGAAAGTTTGCTCTGTTCTATGGGATTCATAGCGTCCTAGAAACATCTTCTTGTGTTTTGACTCCTGCTTAGCTGGGAAGATTTGCCATAACAACAACCAGAAGGATGGCATTTCTTTAAAATGACAAGGTACTTGGCACAAGCGTGGAAAGGGTTATCTCATCGCCTGTTTTGGGCTTCCTTGTGGTGTTTTGCCCGTGTGGAATGGTGTCATCGTCGTCTCTGACCTGTTTTGTTGGTTCCCCACAAACAGGTGATGCACCTGTGGTTTGGTTTCGCAACAGCTAGGCTTGACGTCCAATTCCATCATCGTCATAATTTTATACTTTGCACCCCATCCATCTGACTTTGTTGCCCGGGCTGCTCTGGGTGGCTTCCAACGTATAAATAATAATAATAAAATGTTAAATTTAAAAAATAGTTCCCTATACAAGGCTGCTTTCAGAAGACTCCTAAAGGTCATTGGCTCGGGGGTCAGATAACTCCATCCCCTCCAACGTTTCTCCCGTGAAAATAGGGGCGTCCTATTCCATCCCCTCCAACGTTTCTCCCCTGGAAATAGGGACGTCCTATTCCATCCCCTCCAACATTTCTCCCCTGAAAAGAGGGACGTCCTATTCCATCCCCTCCAACATTTCTCCCCTGAAAATAGGGACGTTCTATTCCATCCCCTCCAACATTTCTCCCCTGAAAATAGGGACATCCTATTCCATCCCCTCCAACATTTCTCCCCTGAAAATAGGGACGTCCTATTCCATCCCCTCCAATGTTTCTCCCTTGAAAAGAGGGACGTCCTATTCCATCCCCTCCAATGTTTCTCCCCTGAAAATAGGGACGTCCTATTCCATCCCCTCCAATGTTTCTCCCTTGAAAAGAGGGACGTCCTATTCCATCCCCTCCAACGTTTCTCCCGTGAAAATAGGGACGTCCTATTCCATCCCCTCCAACGTTTCTCCCGTGAAAATAGGGACGTCCTATTCCATCCCCTCCAACATTTCTCCCCTGAAAAGAGGGATGTCCTATTCCATCCCCTCCAACGTTTCTCCCCTGAAAATAGGGACGTCCTATTCCATCCCCTCCAACGTTTCTCCCGTGAAAATAGGGACGTCCTATTCCATCCCCTCCAATGTTCCTCCCCTGAAAATAGGGACGTCCTATTCCATCCCCTCCAATGTTTCTCCCCTGAAAATAGGGACGTCCTATTCCATCCCCTCCAACGTTTCTCCCCTGAAAATAGGGACGTCCTATTCCATCCCCTCCAACGTTTCTCCCCTGAAAATAGGGACGTCCTATTCCATCCCCTCCAACGTTTCTCCCGTGAAAATAGGGATGTCCTATTCCATCCCATCCAACGTTTCTCTGTATATGCTGTATATATCATTTTATTTTACTTATAATGATTTTTATTTTATCTATAAAATAAAAAATTCACAAAAAAGTCCTTTTACTCATCCAGAGAACGTTCTCGCATTTCATTTGCCCTTTTCCTGCACCCTCTTTTTAAAAAACAAAAATAAAATAAACCATTACAGGTACTTGGACTACATACATCGCGCATGCCTGCATTTTAAAATTCCTGATTCATTTCCTGACATCATTCCTAACCGTTCCTGGGAGGGAGAGGAACTAGCCTAGATACATAACTTGGCCAAGTCAAGAATGCTGATTCTGCAGACGTCCAGCCAAACAAACAGGAAACTCTCTTCCCTTCCGCCACGGATCTGCATAATATTTGCAAGACCGGCTCCAATTTCTCCTGTAAAATCTCTTTTTTTGCATGCAGAAGGCAGGTTCGATCGCAAGGGGAATATCCAGGTGGGGCTGGCAGAGAGAGACCCCCCCCGCCTGAAACTTTGTAGAGCAGCTGCCAGCCAGTGTAGGAATAATCTGGCTCTGTTTCCGACGCTGCTGCTTGAGACCAGCCCTTTATTCAGAAACCAATGAGGACTGGGATCTTATTTATTGATATTGATATTTACAGTCAAGGGACGCGGGTGGCGCTGAGGGTTAAACCACAGAGCCTAGGACTTGCCGATCGGAAGGTCGGCGGTTCGGATCCCCGCGACTGGTTTCTTACAGATGTGCAATGCGGATTTCTGTACCCAGACGAAGTACAGTGGTACCTCGGGTTACAGACGCTTCAGGTTACAGACGCTTCAGGTTACAGACTCCGCTAACCCAGAAATAGTACCTCGGGTTAAGAACTTTGCTTCAGGATGAGAACAGAAATTGCACAGTATTGGCAGCAGGAGGCCCCATTAGCTAAAGTGGTGGTTCAGGTTAAGAACAGTTTCAGGTTAAGAACGGACCTCCGGAACGAATTAAGTACTTAACCCGAGATACCACTGTATATATGCGGGTGGCGCTGTGGGTTAAACCACAGAGCCTAGGACTTGCCGATCGGAAGGTTGGTGGTTCGAATCCCCGCAATGACGGGGTGAGCTCCCGTTGCTCGGTCCCTGCTCCTGCCAACCTAGCAGTTCGAAAGCACGTTAAAGTGCAAGTAGATAAATAGGTACCGCTCTGGCGGGAAGGTAAACGGCGTTTCCCTGCGCTGCTCTGGTTCGCCAGAAGCAGCTTAGTCCTGCTGGCCACATGACCCGGAAGCTGTACGCCGGCTCCCTCGGCCAGTAAAGCGAGATGAGCGCCGCAACCCCAGAGGCGGCCGCGACTGGACCTAACGGTCAGGGGTCCCTTGCCTTTACCTATATTCACAGCCATACCTCGGGCTACAGACACTTCAGGTTGTGTTTGTTCGGGTTACGGACGTGCCGAAACGGGTTACTTCTGGGTTTCGGCAGTCGCGCATTTGCAGAAGTGCTAAATTGTGCTTTGCACATGCGCAGAAGCTCCGAATCGCAACCTTCGCATGCGCAGACTCGGCGCTGCGGGTTGTGAACGTGCATCCCGCACGGATCACATTCGCAAGCCGAGCGTCCGCTGTATATTTATTTTTAACTGGTTATGACACCGTGACACCAGATGGCGCTGCAGAGCCGAGATCACAGCTCAATTTTATTTTCAATTGTGAGCTTTACAACTTTTTTTTTGCATTTTCAGAGCTGTTCTTTTACAGCTGCGTAGATCTAGCTCCAGGGCTGTACTAAGGTTACCAGATTTTTTTCAATGAATCCGGGGACACTTTTCAACTTCCACGGGTTTTGTGTGGGACTGATTTGTAAACCTGGGGACTGTCCCCGGGAAACGGGGACGTCTGGTAACCTTAGGATTGAGGTTGAATCCTGACAAGATAGAAGTACTGTTTTTGGGGGACAGGGGGCGGGCAGGTGTGGGGGACTCCCTGGTCCTGAATGGGGTCACTGTGCCCCCGAAGGACCAGGTGCGCAGCCTGGGGTTCATTTTGGACTCACAGCTTTCCATGGAGGCGCAGGTCAGTTCTGTGTCCAGGGCAGCTCCATCTGGTACGCAGGATGGGACCCTCCCTGCCTGCAGACTGTCTGGCCAGAGTGGTCCATGCTCTGGTTATCTCCCGCTTGGACTACTGCCATGCGCTCTCCGTGGGGCTGCCTTTGAAGGTGACCTGGAAACTGCAACTAATCCAGAATGCGGCAGCCAAACTGGGGACTGGGAGTGGCCGCCGAGACCATATGACACCGGTCCTGAAAGACCTACATTGGCTCCCAGTACGTTTCCGAGCACAGTTCAAAGCATTGGTGCTGACCTTGAAAGCCCTAAATGGCCTCAGCCCAGTATCCCTGAAGGAGCGTCTCCACCCCCATCGTTCAGCCCGGACACCTGGGTCCATCTCCCGAGAGTCTTCTGGCGGTTCCCTCCCTGCGAGAAGCGAGGTTACAGGGAACCAGGCAGGGCCTTCTCTGTGGTGGTGCCCTCCCGTCCGATGTCAAGGAAATAAGCAACTACCTGACTTTTAGAAGACATCTGAAGGCAGCCCTCTTTAGGGAAGCTTTTAATGTTTATCAGACTACTGTATTTTAATGCTTTGTTGGAAGCCGCTCAGAGTGGCTGGGGAAACCCAGCCAGATGGGTGGGGTATAAATAATAAATTCTATTCTATTCTATTCTATTCTATTCTATTCTATTCTATTCTATTCTATTCTATTCTATTCTGTTGTTAGCCGCCCTGAGTCCGGCTTCGGCTGGGGAGGGCAGGATATAAATAAATTTATTATTATTATTATTATTATTATTATTATTATTATTATTATTATTATTATTATTATTCTGTTCTATTGTATTCTATTCTATTCTATTCTTGGGCTGTACTGTACATTAAAGAAAAGGGGGGAAACCCACACAAGTCCACCCACCACTCAGGAATCCTGGGAACATTATATATATATATATCTCCACGATTCCACCCACCAGTGAGGAATCCAGGGAACCGTAGTTCTGCCCAGGGTGCCGGGAATTGTAGTTGGGGTAAGCTACAATTCCTGGAATTCTTTAAGGAGGAGTCATGCGCTTTCAAAGTGTTTGCAAGCCCTGCGTTTGGATTGCAAAGGAGACGTCCTCTGCAGCCTGAGTCAAGAGGGCAGGATTCTACCCCGTTACATCAGCCGACGAGCCGGTTTGTGCCGTCATCATTTTAAGCCCTTTAACATAATTGTCTGCATTATTTTTGGATTTTCATTTCCCCATGAGCTCACCCTTGTTTACCTTCCCCCCCCCCCTCTGCGCATCATGCAAATGGATATTTACAATGTCTGGGTGTTAGTCATACTCAGAGTAAGCCCATTGAAATTAATGGGCATGACTAAGGCACATTTATTTATTTTATTTTTTAAGTTTCTATTTATACTTATTTATTTATTTGTTGCATTTTTTAAATGACAGGGAAGGCATGAATTAAACATTACATCCAAATCTTCCAAAAATAAAATAAAAAATACAAAAAAGTAAAAATATAAAATGAAAACAAAAAGAAAAAAGCCAGTATATTGGGTTTTTGTGCACTTAAGCCATTTATAGGGTTAACGTTCCCCAAAGCTAAAGCCCAACAACTTTTGTGTCCCTAGCACTACTCTTCATTTTTCCCCCCTGCGTAGTATCTCTATGGTCCCATCGTTGCTATAGCGACAGCAGGGCAACCGGAAGCGTTGGCGCCTGCGCAGTACGGCGCCGGAGAAACCCATGATCTTTTTTTTTTTTTAAAATCGCGCATGCGCAGAACTGCCATCGCGGGCGCTCGTTAGTGACGAGAGGCATGAATTCTCTATGCGCATGCGTGAAGCCTTCTGCGTCATAAAACGTCGCCCCGTCGACGCACTTTGCGCATGCGTAGTTTTGTCGGGGGAAGTTTAAAACCCTATTGCGCCTGCGCAGCGCGTCCTTCGTGTCCTTCGCCGGGCGCCATGGACGACGAGGAGGAGACGTACCGCTTGTGGAAGATCCGGAAAACCATCATGCAGGTCTGGGCGGGCGGGCAGGGAGAAGGGGAGCAGGGAGCGGGGGTCGGAAGAGCCCGGGAACGAGGTGGGGGGAGGGGGCTGAAGGGGGGGGGCTCCCTTTCATCGCGCATGCGCAGTACTTCGGAGGCCTACCTGGCAGGGCCGTTGTGCGAAGACAGTCCTGGAGGGGAATGAAGGGTCATGTCCATAGCTGTCAACTTTCAGATTTGAAAATAAGGGATCAGCAGCCTCACCTGTCCCAGGCTCTGTGTGTGTGTGTGTATAGTTATATATATAACTATATATATATATATATAGTTGCTTTCCAAACAACACAAAAGCTATAAAAAAAACCCGGAACAGATTGACATTACTATCCCAAAAGTGGGAATTTAAGTGTCATGCCCCCTCCATACGCACACATACTTTCCTTCCCCCCTCGAGACTATATATATATAGTTGTTGTTTAGTCGTTTAGTCGTGTCCGCCTCTTCGTGACCCCCTGGACCAGAGCACGCCAGGCACTCCTGTCTTCCTCTGCCTCCCGCAGTTTGGTCAGACTCATGTCCGTAGCTTCGAGAACACTGTCCCACCATCTCGTCCTCTGTCATCCCCTTCTCCTTGCGCCCTCCATCTTTCCCAACATCAGGGTCTTTTCCAGGGAGTCTTCTCTTCTCCTGAGGTGGCCAAAGTCTTGGAGCCTCAGCTTCAGGATCTGTCCTTCCAGTGAGCACTCAGGGCTGATTTCCTTCAGAATGGAGAGGTTGGATCTTCTTGCAGTCCATGGGACTCTCCAGAGTCTCCTCCAGCACCAGAATCCAAAAGCATCCATTCTTCGGCCATCAGCCTTCTTGATGGTCCAGCTCTCACTTCCATACATCACTACTGGGAAAACCAGAGCTTGAACTATACAGACCTTTGTTGGCAAGGTTTTTTTCCTCCCACCTCCCCCTACTGCACAGCCTCCCCAAGGAACCCTCTCTTCTCCTCATCCCTCTTTCCTCTTGTGCTGTGTCTTCGCTACCCTCTCAGTCTCTTGGGCTTCCTGGAGGAACCGACCTCTGTGAGAATGAGATGTTGGGCTCTTCCTTTGACCCAGCTGCTGCAGGGCTCTCTTTATATCCCGCGCTGGCTCTCAAGATGCCCTCTGAATAAATGGACCTCTCTCTCCCCTCTTGTTCTTCCTTACTTCCAAATCGCTCCAGCTGTGTCACGATCGAGGTTACCTGGTCACCCAGGATGAGTTGGACCAGACCCTGGAGGAGTTCAAAGCCCAGTTTGGCGACAAGCCCAGCGAAGGGAGACCCCGGCGGACAGACCTCACCGTGTTGGTGGCCCACAACGATGACCCCACCGATCAGATGTTTGTCTTCTTCCCAGGTGAGGCGATGGCATTCAGCAAAAGGTTTGATCCCCTTTCGACTGCTGGTTTGATTGTGTCATCTTCTTCTTAGGCTTGGCTAGCTTTCTCTTTTTTTCTTTCAACAGGATCTGCTTTAGTTTTTATTTTTGGAGCTTTTTATTTTGACAAAGTAATAATCATAAGTAAGAATAAAAATGTGCATCCCACCACTGAGACCATTCCGTTGTAACTGTCCAGCCTCCCAGAATTTCAACACCTCTTGTGATGCTTTGACCCCTTTCCGTTTTAACAGCACACATTCTACGAACACCCTCCATATTTCCTCAAAATCATTTCTCCTGCGTATTTTCTGTGGAGTTTGGAGTTTACTGGGTTAAAACTCCTTGGTGTCCTGTATCTGGGGAGTGGCCTGACGCAGGGCCTTACGTCACAGGCTTTGTCTGTGAGAGTTGGTTTCACTTTTGACTGAGAGACGCTGCAAGAGAGACTGTGTGTGCTTTTAGCATGGGAAAGATGCCGGAAAGCTCCGATGGAATGTGACTGATTTATGGCTTGTAAATAAACGCCTTTTAGAGATAGCAACCAACTGTCTCTGGACTTGATTTATCCCTCTATCTCACACGGACGGCAGGACCGCTGCGACTTTGTTTTCCTGCCCAGGTCAGCCTCAAGCCCCAAGCAGAGCTGCACAGGGGAAGCGCTGACTGGACGGCCGGATTTAATACCCAAATTTTCCATCTTACCTTAATGGCGCATGTTAATTTATCATTCATAGCTGTATCCCACACCACTTTATACCATTCTTCCATTTAATATTCTGCTTGCCCTTTCTATTTCCTAGCTATAATAATTCGTGCAGTTGTCAGTAAACATGTGAGCAAGTCCTTCATAGCCTGCAAACCTTCCATCCCATCGTAAATTGATGATGATGATTATTATTATTTATATCCCGCCCTCCCCAGCCGAAGCCGGGCTCGTGGCAGCTAACAACAATAAAATAGTACAATATTCTAAAATCATTCCATTATAAAATTAATTCAACTCAAAATGATGGCAACCGTTAGGCTAAAGTTCTGTGAAGATTGCCAAAGGAGGGAGTCAGGGTGTGCCCTGGCCAAAGGCCTGGAGGAACAGCTCTATCTTGCAGGCCCTGCGGAAAGATTTCAAGTCCCACAGGGCCCTGGTCTCTTGTGACAGAGCGTTCCACCAGATCAGAGCCAAAGCCGAAAAAGCCCTGGCTCTAGCTGAGCGATCCCTCTTGCTGTTCTGGCTTCTGAGATTCAGAATATTTTTTTCCTTGTTTTCCTCCTCCAAAAACTAGGTGCGTCTTGTGGTCTGGTGTGTCTTATAGAGCGAAAAATACGGTATTTTCTCACGCCAACCGTGCCGTTCTCTTCCCTTTCAGAGGAGCCGAAGGTTGGGATTAAGACCATCAAGATGTACTGCCAACGGATGCAGGAGGAAAACATCACCCGGGCCCTCATCGTGGTACAACAGGGCATGACTCCATCAGCTAAGCAGGTAGCCAAGTCCATCTGCGCGGTATTCACCCTAGAGGGCACAGTTTGGGCTAGTTTGGGCACAAGACATTCGGTGGGCAGCGAACCTTCGCAGGCAAAGAAATACTGTACTTTTCTGCGTATAAGATGAGGGGTTTTTTTTACTCAAGAAGAATGCTAAAAATCGGGGGTCGTCTTACAGATAGTGAAGAGGGTGGACGGGCGATTTGTTTCAGCCGCTCGTCACCGGTGCTCGGGTGTGTGGTTGGTGGCTGCGGCAAGGGCTGCTTTGGATTGGCCGCTGCTGACACAATTGGGCGGGCAATCGCTGGCCGCTGTCGGCGAGCTGACGGGCGCTTGTTTGCTTTGACGACACGTGCGAATCTCAGCGTTTGCTGCTCGGGTGAGTGGTTTTCGGCATCCCTCTCCCCGCCCCCCGAAACAGCTCGACAACTCAGGGCAATCCTTCCCCCAGAAACAGTTCAACAACTTTGGGCCATCTCCCCCGATTTTCTTAAATTGTAGCCCCCCAAAATAGGGGGCGTCTTATACACGGGGACGTGTTGTACACGGGAAAATATGGTACCTTGGTGTAGGTTACTACTCCCCTTTGTGCCGATGTTATTTGGTTCAGGGGTTGCTAACCTAGTGCCTAAGGGACGCAGGTGGCGCTGTGGTCTAAACCATAGAGCCTAGGGCTTGCCGATCGGAAGGTCGGCAGTTTGAATCCCTGCAATGACGGGGTGAGCTCCCGTTGCTCGGTCCCTGCTCCTGCCCACCTAGCAGTTCGAAAGCACGTCAAAGTGCAAGTAGATAAATAGGTACCACTCTGGCGGGAAGGTAAATGGCATTTCCGTGCGCTGCTCTGGTTCGCCAGAAGCGGCTTAGTCACATGACCTGGAAGCTGTACGGCGGCTCCCTCGGCCAATAAAGCGAGATGAGCGCCGCAACCCCAGAGTCGGTCACGACTGGACCTAATGGTCAGGGGTCCCTTTACCTAACCTAGTGGTTAAGGGACGCAGATGGCACTGTGGTCTAAACCACAGAGCCTCTTGGGCTTGCCGATCGGGTCGGCAGTTCAAATCCCTGCAACCGGGTGAGCTCCCATTGTTCGGTCTCAGTTAACCGATTCACTGTCTCTGGAAAACATTCCTCTGCCCTCCCCAAGGTCTATAAGGGCTGAGAAAGTGGCAGAACATAAAGTATAGAGCAGGGGTAGGCAACCTAAGGCCCATGGGTCACAAGTGGCCCGCGGGGGTTGTTTAACCGCCCCCGAACCAAGCCGTTCGCTCGGTGAGTCCCCATGCACTGCGCTAAACCACCACAGCGCGGGGACTCACTTCCGTGGTGCTGGAAATCGTGGGCGCACGTGCGCCGCGCACACAATCGAACCCACAGAGGGAACTCCGCTGGAGTGAACCGGCCCAGGCGAGGTACACCTTGCTGACCCCTGATAAAGAGGTTACAAAATGTAGGAGTGACGTGGGTGACAAGGGGCGTAAGGGGGCGGAATTCCTAATTGGGAGCACCGCCATTCCTAGGAAATGGGTTCTTTCTAACTTGTAAGAAGGCTCATTTTTCTTTGTTCTGCTTATCTACTGCCAAGGGGGTGGTGTGGGGAGGAAGCTGATTCCATGAAGCCTGACATTAGCTTATGTCCCTTCTCCTCCCACTCTTTTTCAGTCTCTTGTAGACATGGCTCCCAAGTATATCCTTGAGCAGTTCCTTCAGCAAGAGCTGCTGATCAACATCACTGAACACGAGGTGAGGCGTCTCCTCCGTTCGATTTAACGCCATATAAATGCTGCTTAGGCAACAGAAAGTTTCCAAAATGAGAACAAAAGCAAGTCTCCTTTTTTCCAGGCCAAAGGTCCACCCGTTTTGTTGAATTAATCACACAGAATGGTTCCGGTTGGATTTGGAATAAAAGTGCAATTAATTGTTACCGTTTTGAATTTTATAATAATAATAATAATAATAATAATAATAATAATTTATTATTTATACCCCGCCCATCTGGCTGGGCCTCCCCAGCCACTCTGGGCGGCTTCCATAAAAACCAAAAATACAATAAAACCAAATACAATACTGTGTTATCTTCCTTACTGGGTTGTGCAAACAGTTATCCTGACATATGTGATTTAGCAGAGTGACCCCACCCGAAAACAAAATGTATTCATGCCAGATAAGTCCGCTGTGGAACATTTGTTTCCCTGTAGGACACAAAAATGGCCTCCATTCTTACCCAAGTTGTTTCTCTGCCTAATGGGTTGAAAGAGCTTTCTGTGCACCAAAAGTGACTAGCTGTGTCCTCATCCTGTTTTTTGCCTGTGTCCTGACCTACCTGAAGGAGCATCTCCACCCCCATCGTTCTACCCGGACACTGAGGTCCAGCTCCGAGGGCCTTCTGGCGGTTCCCTCCCTGCGAGAAGCCAAGTTACAGGGAACCAGGCAGAGGGCCTTCTCGGTGGTGGCGCCCGCCCCGTGGAACGCCCTCCCACCAGATGTCAATGAGAAAAACAACTACCAGACTTTTAGAAGACATCTGAAGGCAGCCCTGTTTAGGGAAGCTTTTAATGCTTAATAGGTTATTGTGTTTTAGGTTCTGTTGGAAGCCGCCCAGAGTGGCTGGGTATAAATAATAAATTATTCTTATTCTTATTATACCTTTCTTTCTTTCCGCCTCTGCAGTTGGTTCCTGAGCACGTTGTCATGACCAAAGAGGAGGTGACCGAGTTACTGGCCCGATAGTATCCTTCTTTTCGCTCTCCTGCCCTATCCTCGTAGGTCTCAAAAGACATGTGAAGTAAAGGTAAAGGGGACCCCTGACCATTAGGTCCAGTTGTGACCGACTCGGGGGTTGCGGCACTCATCTCACTTTATTGGCCAAGGGAGCCGGCGTACAGCTTCTGGGTCATGTGGCCAGCAGGACTAAGCCGCTTCTGGAGAACCAGGGCAGTGCACAAAAACGCTGTTTACCTTCCCACTGGAGTGGTACCTATTTATCTACTTGCACTGGTGTGCTTCCGAACTGCTAGGTTGGCAGGAGCAGGGACCGAGCAACGGGAGCTCACCCTGTCATTGCGGGGATTCGAACCGCCGACCTTCTGATCGGCAAGTCCTAGGCTCTGTGGTTTAACCCACAGCGCCACCCGTGCCCTAAAAAGTCATGTTACGAAAACACTAAATACATAAGGAAGATAATTAACACTGACACTAACCCCTGTACCACGCAGCTTCTGTGTTGATTTCTCCATCCCCTTTTGCCCTCCGAATGTGGCCCTCGGAAGGGAGCGTGGCCCTCGGGCCAAAAGAGGTGTGTCCCCCCACCGCCCTGGTCTGACGCTAGTTGTCACCAGCCGGGACCTGAATAAGTTCAGCTTCTCCCAGAATCGAACCTGGCTTGTTACACTTTGCCTTCTTTCTTCCCGGGGAGGTGAAACGGATGGATTGCTTTCCCTTAACTGCTTTCTCCCAGTAAGCTCCGAGAGAACCAGCTCCCCAGGATCCAGGCCGGGGACCCGGTGGCTCGCTACTTTGGAATCAAGCGAGGCCAGGTAAGGACTTGCGGACAGGCCACACATGAATCGAAGGGGATGGGACCAGTTCATGGTCCATAGCAACTCCCAAGAGACTGTGATCTACTCACAGAGTTAAAAACTGGCAGTGATACCTACTCACAGAGCTAAAAACTGGGGTTCAAGTCAAAGTTGTTGACCTTTTTTAGGGAGGAGGAAAAGCCCCATTTTTACCTCTTGGACATGCTTGTTTTACAGTCACGGGAAAGAGAACATTATAGTAAATTTAAAGGGGGTGGGGGCTGTTCGACTTAGCCTCATGCTTTTTTTAACTACTGAAATTAGCTGCCATCACCGCTGCCAACAGATTCCAATACATTACGCGTGTATTGTGTGAAAAAGGCTACTGGCTCTCTGCTTGCCTTCTCCCAAATCAGTTCCCGATTTTGAAACCAGTACCTCCCTTCTCCCAAATCAGTACCTGATTCTGAAACCAGTACCTGCCTTCTCCCAAATCAGTACCTGATTTTGAGAACTGCCTTCTTCCAGGTGGTGAAGATCATTCGTCCCAGCGAGACGGCCGGACGGTATATCACCTACCGGCTGGTGCAGTAGCCGGCAAAACTACTTTGCAAGGTACTCTTATCTCCTTACCTTAAAAGGAAATGTGGGCGGCCTCATTTCAGAGAGATCTTCTTTGCTGAGAAACGCTTCTTTGACAGATTTTGAACAGCATACCTAACAAGATACCAACACTTCTCCTATATTGCCTCGTGGTTTCGTCAATTTTCTGTGCAGTGTGGAGACGGCAAACCTGCCTTCCCAGTGACCGCAAGGATTGGAATTTGGGGCGTACGTGTTTGTGTCTCTTCTGGAAATCCCAGGTGGGTGGGAATCTTCTTGGACATATGATTGCTGCTTCGAACCACCCAAGCTTCTAGATCTCAAGATCTGAAGTGGAACCAGTTGCTAACGCCACAATAAGCACCCTTCTGATAATTCCACCCCCAACTGAACTGGGCCTGGGTATATTTTGCTTACGCTGATGGGGTGGCCTGGAAGCAGCTTTTTGCTGTGTGCTTTGGAAGAAGACGCGTGGATGGAGGACGTATGTAGAGGCCTCTCTGCCTTTAGAGTGTGCTTGCAGTAAGCAATTTGCGAGAAAAAGGATTTTCTGGACTCCTGAGAACGTCCCTCTTCCTTTCTCTGTTTTGCTGATCACTGCTGGGGGAAATCCGCCTCTCTCAAAAGGAGCCCCGACTGTCTTAATAAGGTTATCATTTCAATAAAGCATTGGAACTAATAATGTTTATTTTTATTAGGATTATTATTGAGCACTTGGAAAGTGCCTAACGTTTTGTAGGAAAAAAACTGAAAGGGGAAACCATGGATGGAAAGATGGTCTCAGTTGTGTAATAATAATAATAATTCATTATTTATACCCTGCCCATCTGGCTGGGTTTCCCCAGCCACTCTGGGCAGCTTCCAACAGGCTATTAAAAACACAGAAAAAGATCAAACATTAAAAACTTCCCTAAACTGTTTATTTCCTTGACATCTGGCGGGAGGGCGTTCCACAGGGCGGGTGCCACCACCGAGAAGGCCCTCTGTCTGGTTCCCTGTAACCTTGCTTCTTGCAGGGAGGGAACCGCCAGAAGGCCCTCGGAGCTGGACCTCAGTGTCCGGGCTGAACGATGGAGGTGGAGACGCTCCTTCAGGTATACTGGGCCGAGGCCGTTTAGGGCTTTCAAGGTCAGACCAACACTTTGAATTTAACAACACTTTGTTTAACCAGCGAGGTATTACAGGTATTTTAGAGACTTCTTGCTAACGCCATTTCCAGGGTGTTGTTAATTGTTGCAGGAGGGTGGGAAGGAAATTGACACAACGCCATTGGATGGTGTACGCTTACTTTATTTTCATACCTAACGAAAGCATCAGTCCAGGATTGCGAGTTCAGCAGTTTAAAAAGCAAACCAGAGGGCTGCCACACAGGCTAGCTTTCAAGCACAGGGAGGGGTACCTTATGTACAAATAATTAAGAAGCCGAGGTTATTAAGACCTGAACCTCCACACTCTTTCCTCTCATCCACCCTTGACATATGAAACAAAACTCTCACACACGGTACCGTTCCTGCCTTCTCTGGAAGCTGAGATTTCTTTTGCCTCTGTTCCCATTAAAGGTAAAGGGACCCCTGACCATTAGGTCCAGTCGTGGCCGACTCTGGGGTTGCGGCGCTCATCTCGCTTTACTGGCCGAGGGAGCCGGCGTACAGCTTCTGGGTCATGTGGCCAGCAGGACTAAGCCGTTTCTGGCGAACCAGAGCAGCGCACGGAAACGCCATTTACCTTCCCGCCGGAGCGGTACCTATTTATCTACTTGCACTTTGTGCTTTCAAACTGCTAGGTGGGCAGGAGCAGGGACCGAGCAACGGGAGCTCACCCCGTCATTGCGGGGATTCGAACCGCCGACCTTCCGATCGGCAAGCCCTAGGCTCTGTGGTTTAACCCACAGCGCCACCCTTTGCTGGGAACCGCCATCCCGTTAAAGCACGGCGGAGTCTCGAAAGAGGCGCCTTGGTTCTTCGGAAGCCCTTGCCACTAGGCGGCGCCGTCGTGCTCAGCTTCTGCCAGGACACTGTGAGAACGGGGTGCTGGATTAGATTAGGTGGGTCTCTTTGGCCAGAACCAAATCAAAGCTCTCCTTAATGATGCTGAAAGTGGTTTTTGCATAGGATTTGGCAAGTTAGTTGGCCTCACGGAAGAGAAACCTTTCTGCTCTGTTGCTGTCTTACATTTGCCGCAGGACTGTTGGCATCACCGGCAAGCGGAGCGGGGGCCCCCTGACACCCACACCTTTTGCCCTGGGTCCCAGACCTGCCCCCTTTTTAAAGCAATATAATTATTATTAATATGCTGCCATCTGACTGGGTTGCTCCAGCCACTCTGGGCAGCTCTCGACAAAATGCTAAAAACATGTATATATATATAAAAAACACTTCTACAGGGTGACTGGGCGTGTATAGGGCTGGCAGATATATCCATATATCGTCCAAAGCGGTTTGAAGTCCGTATCGTGGTGCCACTTTCGTAATTTTTGACCTGGCAATACATCGCGGATCGTGATGTTTGTGTACGCAAAAAATCACAATTGGGGAAACCGTGAAGCCGGCGGACGCCTCTACATAGCGCCATCTTTATTTCAGACGTGGTAGATCAGTAGATAAACGCAGCGTTTGGGCGCTGTGTTGAAAACTAGGTTTTGCCCAGCCCTAGTGAGAGCCACAGTCACCGCCCTCTCGTGTTTTGTTCAGAGGTAAATATTCTCTTGGGTACCTAGGAGTGGAGAAATCGGAAACTGCCTAATGCCAAGAATTTGTCCTGAATCGATTTAAAGCTGTATTATGCTGAGTCTTGACCACTGGTCCATTTGGCTCAATTCTGGCCACACCAACTAGCGACAAGACTCCAGGGTTTCGGAGAAAGGGAGTCTCTCCCAGCGCAAACTGGGAGATACCGGAGATCGCAGCTGCCTGAACGGCAAACAGATTCTCTAAAGCACAGAGCCACAGCCTTTTCCCAGCAACGCATCTACTGCTAGAGTTGGGAAAAGCCGCCTGAAATCTGAACTAAGTGATTGACGCGCCCATCTTCTGTTCACAAAACGATGCAGGTTACGCTAGCTTGAAATCCTGAGCTGGGATCCGCTCGTCCAACAAACCAGTCTCTCTAGGGGAATAAGCCTCGTATAAGAAAGACTTTTGCTTATTTCTTTTTCTAGCTTAATGAGCTAGGAGTATTTTTTGGAGGAGACTGCAGAAAGCAAACTGCGACCGTCGCCAGCAGGCTGCAATCCGGCGCTTGTCTGTTCAGTAGCAAGTCCGCGACAGCGTTTGCTTCCCGGAAAGCGTGGATCACAACCTTTCGAGTACCTCGTGATCCAGCAAGCCTCCCCCACGGTCAGTTTGTACCCTGACTTTTTTTTTAAAATAACACAATGACATAGCTGAAGGGGCTGGCATTTAAAAACCCAACCCTAGCCGTAGCAAAATAAACAAAGAGTTCTGCTTTGCTAAAGTGAACGCCCTTCAAATCAGTACTTTGAAAGGGGCTGCTTTTCCGGGTAGTTTCTGGCAGAGAACCGAGAACCTCTGCAAACAAGGACAGGAGGGTGCAAATATAAATTGCAATGGCGTTGTATCTGGGACTGTTCTTTTTAACACGCCGCTCGTGCAAAAGAGGTTGGGAGCCTGCTAAACCACACGGAAACCTTGGCACGCTCCGGTTTCGCGGCCGATCCAAAAACGGGCGAAAGGATAACCAGGATTGCGTTGAAAAGGCGGGTTAGGGCACCAAGAACTGCAGGAATTAGATTTTCTTCGTTCGCAGCTCTTATGCATACGGACTGTTCTTTCATTCCCGTTTTCGAGGCTGGGGAAACTACTCTAACGCCTTGTAGCCGAAAGGCGGCTGCGGAAACGTCACGTTGTTCGACTGGTTGGTGTTGCAACCTTCCAGCGGCCTTCCCGCCTGCCCTTCCGCACTCTCCCTGTCGCCCTCTCTCCCGAAAACCACATCTTCGTCCCCATCACAGCGGCCTTCCTCCCGGGCCGGGCAGCGCTGCAGCGGAGAGATGTCTTCAGAGTCCGACTGACCGACGCTGTAAGTGCGGCTCAGCGTCCCTTCCTCGCTGGCTTCATCCACAGACGGGGTTTCTTCGTCGCCGCTGGTCTCGCTGCCTCGCCGCGGGGGGCCCTCGATGCCCGCCTCTGCGGAGACTTCTGGATCAGAGTCGGAATCGATGAAACGGGTGCTGTCTTCTGTGTTGGGATAAAATGAAACTCATTACTGCCTTCCTTTCTCTACTCCCTTATGCTTCTGCCAAGGAGATCTGTGTGGGTTCCCCATTTTATCCTCAATAATAATAATAATGTTGATGATGATGATAATACAGTGGTACCTCGGGTTACATACGCTTCAGGTTACAGACTCCGCTAACCCAGAAATAGTACCTCAGGTTAAGAACTTTGCTTCAGGACGAGAACAGAAATCGCATGGCGGCAGCGGAAGGCCCCATTAGCTAAAGTGGTGCTTCAGGTTAAGAGCAGTTTCAGGTTAAGAACGGACCTCCGGAACGAATTAAGTACTTAACCTGAGGTACCACTGTATATTATTTATACCCAGCCCAGCTGGCTGGGTTTCCCAAGCCACTTTGGGCGGCTCCCAACAGAATATTAAAAACGCCATAAAGCATCAAACATTAAAGACTTCCCTAAACAGGGCTGCCTTCTGAGATAGTTGTTTATTTCCTTGACATTGGACGGGAGGGTGTTCCACAGGGCGGGCGCCACCACCAGGAAGGCCCTCTGCCTGGTTCCCTGTAACCTCACTTCTCGCAGGGAGGGAACTACCAGAAGGCCCTCAGAGCTGGACCTCAGGCTGAACGATGGGGGTGGAGATGCTCCTTCAGGTATACTGGGCTGTTTAGGGCTTTCAAGGTCAGCACCAACACTTTGAATTGTGCCTGGAAACATACTGGGAACCAATGTAGGTCTTTCAAGACCTGTGTTATGTGGTCTTGGCAGCTGCTCCCAGTCCCCAGTCTGGCTGCCGCATTCTGGATTAGTTGTAGTTTCCAGGTCACCTTCAAAGGTAGCCCCACGGAGAGCGCATTGCAGTAGTCCAAGCGGGAGCTAACCAGAGCATGCACCACTCTGGACAGACAGTCTGCGGGCAGGGAGGGTCTCATCCTGCGTCCCAGATGGAGCTGCCCTGGACACAGAATTGACCTGCGCCTCCATGGACAGCTGCGAGTCCAAAATGACCCCCAGGCCTCGTACCTGGTCCTTCAGGGGCACAGAGTCCCTCACACCTGCCTGCCCCCTGTCCCCCCAAAACAGTACTTCTGTCTTGTCAGGATTCAACCTCAATCTGTTATCCGCCATCCATCCTCCAATCACCTCCAGGCACTCACACAGGACCTTCACTGGTTCTGATGTGAAAGAGAGGTAGAGCTGGGTATCATCCGCATACTGATGAACACCCAGCCCAAACCCCCTGATGATCTCTCCCCGCGGCTGCATGTAGATGTTGTAAAGCATGGGGGAGAAGACGGAACCCTGAGGCACCCCACAAGTGAGAGCCCAGGGGTCTGAAAACTCACCCCCCAACACCACTTTCTGGACATGCAACCCATTACAGTGGTACCTCGGGTTAAGTACTTAATTCGTTTCGGAGGTCCATTCTTAACCTGAAACTGTTCTTAACCTGAAGCACCACTTTAGCTAATGGGGCCTCCCGCTGCCG